AAAAAAAAAATATAATTTCTCTTAAAACAAATTGCTTAAATTGTGTTTCCGCATTTTTACCATCATGATCAGATAGCCTTATGGGCTTTTCAAGGGCCAATTTGGACCCATGTCTGAAACAATGGGGATAAGTCCATGGGCCACCACCTTGACAACGTTCGAATGTAGGCTAATCTCGTTTTTCCATTATAGGCCTATTTATAAGCACATAAAACCTTAAATAATATAAAAATAAGTTTATTAAATAATCCCTAACCGTTATAGCATTTTATTACCACTCTATTTGAACTTTTAAACTCTAAAAATGCTTAAATATAGATCAATAAAAGCCAATAATTAAAATTAAAATCTGAAAATTTATTAAATTAGATCTTTGATTATATATATATATATATATCCAAAAACAAAAAATTTAGATCAAATTTCAATAAATTATTAAATTGGAGCTTTTTTTTTAGAGCATCGATTGCATCTTTGGCTTATTTAGAGGAAATGATCTATGGTTTTTGACAAACTTTATTAAAATTAAAAAGGACTCCTTAGTCAAAACATAGAATAAATTTTTTATTTTTATCTATATCTTTAATATTTTTCTCACATATATTAAAAAAAATTCTTTAAAATAAAAGAATTTGTAAAAACTAAAATGCTAATTTAATCATGTTAAAATTTAGTGCAGCCTTGAATAATTTTTTTATTCACATTTGTATTTATATATTTGTGTTATATATAAATAGATGGTTTTATTCAAATTTTATTCTTACATAGTACTGTTTTATTGATTTTTTTTATTTTCTTAGTATTAATTTTAACCTTTTTTATTGGCATACATGCAACGCAAGTGCCAAGGGTAATAGTTACCAAAAAATGGATGTTTAAATTTTAATTTCTAAATTCATTTTTCTTTTTTAATCAAAATAAGGCAGAATTCCTTGTCATATTAATCTTGTTTCCGTATGTGCCTTCAACATATATACAATCCTCAACAAAGGCTAAGATCCTTGGTGCTTGTTTAGTAATCGAAGTAGAGTGATGAGAATGAGAATGCGGGAATCGAAATGGTATTGATATTTTCATACTTGCGTTTGGAATACTAATGAGGAATCGGAATACAATTTAAATTTTTTAATATCTAATTTTTTATACAAATAAAAATAACGATTAATTTTTTATTTATTAAACTATGATGATTATAAAAATAATAAAGGTGATGATAATGATTATGGTTAAGACAGTGGTGGTTCTAATGATGGTGGTGACGTACTGTATCGATTGTGATAGTGGTGATGGTGATGGTTGCGATGGTGGTGGTGGTGGTAAAAGTAGTTAATGGATAATAAATAAATAAAATATATTATTATTTTGAAAAAAAAAATCATTCTTATTCTGTTTTTATTTTCACATATTGTACGAAAAGGAAGTTATGTGTAAATTTTTATTTTTTTTAATTAGACAGATTACAATGTAGGAATAAAACTTTCATTTCTATTTCCACCGTTCTATTCTATTATCAAATAGCACTTGAAAATTTTGCTTGGGAAATGATAAAATGGGCAAGAGCAAGTGTGAATCTTTATTTCGTATTGTAGCAATAACCTGTTCTAAAAGTGCGTTGTTCTGAACAAGGAACATCCTTGCACTTTCTAAGTTCTTTTCCTTTTCCTTTCTTTTCTTTTTTATCCGGCAACCTAATAAATTAAGAAAAAATAAATTAAAAGCTTACGCACATGGCGGAAAGTGTTCAATTATGATAAATAAGATTAAAAATGCATTATTCTAGTGAAAAAAGATACAGCTTTGCCTTTTCGGGAAAAAAAAAGAAGGTAAAATCATACGAATTCTTCGCTTCTAGAGAAAGAAACCCTTCAAATTGCAGCACAAATTTTTCGTCGATTTCTCTGCAAATTGTTTGGGCCAGGTCACTGATTTCTCGGCGCAGATGGATTTGCGTGTTCTCCTAGTGGACAAAAAATATTTTCGGACGGAAGGCCTAAATACATAAAAATGGCCTTGAGGGTCAAATTCAATGACAAGCCCAATAGCTCTTCCGAGTTCTAACTTAAGCTGATCGATATCAACTGACAGTTCATATCATGAATAATTAAAATGATTATATATAGAGGGCGACAAAAGAAATTGTTCAGAGCATTTTTAGCTTTGTAATTTCATTTATTGAATAAAGTGTGCATTTATCTTCGTTAAAAATTAAAGAGCAAGATAGGAATGGCATGAATTTAATTATCAATATTAATTGTGTTTGATTATATACTTTCATATAGCTTCATGACAATGTTTTAGGATATTTTTCTTAAAAGCAAAGAGGTGTTAGTCTAGTAGACGGAAATTAGAAACTCAGCATAACTAGCTACAATATCCAGGTTCAAATTCATGCACTAAATATAACAAACACAAGAACACAAAAGGAGTGCTTGAACACGCATGCATATATCACAGGCAGCTAGACCTAAATGGAATTTTTGGATTGTAACTGATGCATTATATACATACACTTCAATTATTTGTTCACTAGGTAAACAAAAAGGATGGCTTGCTTGGAATAAAAAAATCCCACATTATTAAATGAGAGTAAATTATAAATCATTTCTCTCTAGTTTTGCAAAAGGAATTAAATAATTATTATTTTTTACTTGTATTAATCATGCATGATTAATTTAATATTATTTTGTTTCAAAAATAAATATCTTCTTTTCCCATCTCCTTTCATATCATCTATTTATTTTGTTCTATTTTTTAAAAAAATTAAAATAAATTATAAATAAATTTAGAAACATAAAAATTAATTAATTAGTTTTTAATACATAACACCATTAGTCCATTTGGTTCAAAAACTATATTTTTTTTTCTTTTTTCTACTTCAATAGTTTTATTTTTTATTTTAATAAATAGAGAAAGAATAAAAAATAAGTAAAAATATGAAAAAAGATATTTTTTTAAATAAAAAAATAAATTATTTGGTTCAACACTGATTTAAAAAATAAAAAATTTATTTTGAAGCCAAAAGAATTAATTAATTCATTTTTCAAAATGAGATGAACTAATTTATAATTTAATTTGCAATTCAAGAATCTCTTTCATCATAAATTAAGAAGTAAAATTCATGAAAACCAATTTTGTATAAGTTTTTATTTCAATTTATTGACTTTAATATATTCCATACAATTTAGATAGTTTTTTTTTTAATTTTTTTTATACTATATACTCTGAATCTATTATATGTATATATTGTTGAAAATTAATTATGTATTTGCATACATAACACTAATTATTTATTATTTTTTTATGTTCTAAAATCAATATTTTTTAAATAAAATAATTGAATTATATATCATTAGTTTTATTTAAAGTTAATTATGTATCTGCACACATAACATCAATTTTTTTTTTATGTTTTAAAATCAATATTTTTAAATAAAATAATTGAAATTATGTTTTGAAATAACCTTTTTATTATTCAAATATAATTTTTTATGCTAATATTATTGATTATTTTCTTAATAAATATATACAAATTAAACAATTTTACTTAGCAAATAAATTTGATTTTATTAATTATCAAAAATAAGATTTTTATTCACATGTAATATGAATTATTAACTTTATATATATAACGAATTATCCAAACACCACGTAATAAGAGTATCTAATTAGTTAGCCACTTTAGTAGGGTCAACGATTACATTAATAGAATAAAAAATTATATTACCGAGGTAAAGACTGAATTGACTGACCGCTATGGTAGAATTAACTGTCGAGGGAATCCTCTTTGCAACGAGGCAGGCATATGTTAAGCTTAAATTCTGCGCTGGGTGAACCCAGGGTAGAGAGGCCAATTCGCATATGTAGGGGTAAAGTCGTGTTTGTCTTGACTTGCATCGAGAGTCGACAGAGAATCTGTTTCCTTTTCTTCACTTCGGACAAAACAAAACACAGTGAGTTTCGGTGTCTGAGGCTCTGATTTCATTGCACTCAAAATCCTCTCTCCACTTCACTCGTCTCTCTCTCTCCCTTTCCGTCTGCAATTCTCCTCCACTCTCTCATTTTAACTCTCTCAAATCAAATCCTGGAATTCAATCCTCCCCCCCCCCCCCCCCCCCCCCCCCCCCTTAAAAAAAAAGAAGAATTAAAAAAACATTATCCAAATCCAACTTCACCATTCTCTCTTCTCTATGTTTTTTTTTAATTATTATTATTATCGAATTCCCATACTTGAATACTTAAGAGTTTGAATTTCTGAAAAATAAATTCCAGGGAAATATTTTACAGGCAAGTTTATAGATCGTCTGTTCTTGTTGGTTGAACAAGAAAATATTTTAAGCGTAATTGTCGCAGATTCCTGGCTCAGTTATTTATTATCTTATTATTTTTTCTTAATCAACGCTTGTCATATAATAATAATAATAATAATAAAATAATAAAGAGATTGTGATCAGTCCAAATCTGGGTATGTTCTACTTTTGTTAAAGTAGATTACTTGTTATTAACATACAATAAATGCTGGATTTTGGTTGGCTGTGACAGAGTAATTCAATTTTTTGAGTTTGGTTTCTCTTCTTTTTTATCCCCTCAAGAGTGTTCTGATTTTTGTCAACGTTTAACGTGGAAAGAGAAAAGGATAAAAGAAAATTTACTTTGCCCATAAAGCGCCAACGCTTTTTGGCAGTTTCTTGTGGAGTATTCTACAAGAGTACAAACTACAAAGACTCGAGTAGAAATGATGGCATCTTTTTTAGTATAAGATAATAGCTGGCGTTGTTGAAGCCTGCCTAACTCATCTTCAAGACTCAATCTTTTCTTTCTCTATCTTTAAAAAGCAAAACCCATCTTTCTCTATTGGCCATTTTATCAAAAACGTTTACAAATTTGGGGTGGTTGAGGGATTTTTGGTTGGTGGGTGTAAGATAATTGGGCTGAATCAGAGCATTTCTGGGATTTTTGTTAGAGATTCTTGGTTGGTTCTTGTTTTAAAGGGAAAAGGGGAGATGGGTTCTTATGTAAAGCTTGCCAAGAGAGCTGTGGAGACTGACATGCCGATCATGGTTCAGGTATTGATTTACTACAATCTGTTTTGGGTTACTGGATTCCTTCTGTTCTTGTCAAAACACACGCACATATATGCAGATGATTATTTTTGTGATTCTGTCCGGTTATAAGTATGCACACCAGCACATATATGTTGCATATGAATATGTGTTATGTATTGGGGACTGTTTTTATAGCATGTACAAGAAAGAGAGTGCCTTCCATGGAGAAAGTGGGGATTTTTTCTATGCTATGGAAACACACGTCGGTTATGTATATGTGTGTTAGTGGTGGTTTGGGTAAATTATTTTGATGGTGTATATTGAAAGAAAGAGTAAAAAAAATTGATGGTGCAAGTGGGGAGATTATAGGTTTTACTTAAAAAAAAAAAAACTTAGGAGATTATACCTTATGCACAGATGTACATGTTATATGTTTTGCAGATACAGGAATTGGTCCGAGGAGCCAAAAATGCTGTGTCCTTGGCACAGGTTTGAGATTTCCTTTCCTCGTGTTTCTTTATGCTGCTGTTTTAAACTGTATAAAGGTGTTTAGATAAGAGAAGTATTGAGAATCGGGAACAGTGCACGTTCTTCTTCGAGAATAAGGGCTTGTTTGTTGCAGATTTTAAGGGCTTTGTTTTTCAAAAAGTAGGAGAGAAGGTGATGCATAAATTTGTTTGACAATGAATCTAGGAAGTCTCTTCTCCCATAAAATTTAGGACAGCAACATGATGAACTTGTTTTCTGTATTTTCTTTTTTGATTTTCCTCATATGGAAGATGAGAAAATAAGATGGTAATTTCAAGATTTCTATTTTGGCTCCTCTTGGAACTTTTAAAATTAGAACTCTTAAGGAAAAAAAAAAAAAAAAAAACCTGATCTCATACTATGAAGTGAAATCATGACTATTGGAATGCCACTTTGTCAAAATTCTCAAATACGTGCTGCATTATCTGGTTGTCAAACTCAAAGCTTTTCCATATGTCATCTGCTCAGCATAGATTGTATGGTCAAATTCTTTTGCCAAATTGCTAGAAAGGCAGTTTCTCATTTAGAAATGAGTATCAATGATGTATATTTAGCTTTAATTCAAATCTGATTGTTCATCAACTAAAGTGAGCTAGATTTAGTTATTTGTGCCCTCATCATTAATAAAGACTAAATATAAGTGAGTTTTCCTTCATTGCACTAGACATGGAAGAAATTTCTTGGTGACTGATTCATTTATTTCATGTGGTCCAGGGGGTGGTTTATTGGCAACCACCCAAACAGGCATTGAATAAGGTGAAAGAACTTGTATGGGAACCTTCCATTAGCCGTTATGGATCTGATGAAGGCATTCCTGAACTCAGGGAGGCATTAACGCAGAAGGTATATGATTAAGAACATTCAGCATGTTTTCAACTGGATGATTTATGTTATGTTTCTGGTCATTGGCATCTGAAAGGCAGGCAGAGGTCATTTGATTTTCTGCTTAGTGCTGCATTTCAACTGTTTATACTCATGTTGTAATTATTAGAGATATAATTGTTCCTGTTGTATGGGTCACTGATATCTGTCATACCCACTCTATCAAACTTTACGTACTTCACTTTTCAGTGGAGTTGTTTTCTGACTTAGACACTGATATTTCTGGAGTCTTACTAATCTTACCAAACCTGCATACACTTGCTGTTGGAAATTTGTTAGCACATTACCTGATACCTTTTTCTCTTTGTTTTGCAGTTGCGAGAGGAAAATAAGTTGGTGAAATCTTCAGTTATGGTTACTGCAGGTGCAAATCAGGTGTGTCTGACTACTGCATTCTTAAATATATGTTACTCATTCCCAAAAGCATTTAGGTTTAGGAGAAGAAGACAACAAAGTTAAAATTATGTCTGTAAATTTTTATTATCTAGTATATTATTTCATTGACTTGTAGAAAACGTTGTTCTTTCTGTACTGTAGCTAACTGTCTCATATAACATATGTTCTAGAATATGAATTATTATTACCTTCTCAATTGCAGGCATTTGTAAATCTTGTTCTTGCATTATGTGACGCTGGGGATTCCGTGGTTATGTTTGCCCCATACTATTTCAATGCGTACATGTCTTTCCAGATGACTGGCGTCACTAATATACTGGTGGGTCCTGGCAACCCAGAGACGCTTCATCCTGATGCAGGTGAAGCTCCATAAACCGTCATTGCATATAGCCTGACCTTTTGTGCTAGTAAGTAGAGCACATATTTGAATGGTGAACTTGGGTATTTTAGGTCAGAAATATTTGTCGCTCATTGGAAAGGATCCAATCTGAGCTGCATTGTATCCTGTCGCACTTCTGTAATTAAGAAGTAACGTTGATTACTTTTGGAGTTTGACTTCAAGGAAGTCTGACTTGTTGTAACTTTAGTTACTGGTTGATGTCTGCTCTTGAAGTCTATAGCAGTACCCATCAAGTTCTACAAATGATTTTCCTTGCTTGCATTTTCAGTATGAAAAATTTGAGTTGTGATTACCAAAAATTAAAAGCCCTGCTATTGCATCTGTGAATCTTCAATGTGATGCGTGTTTCTTGATCTTTCTAATCCATGTGAATATTTCAAGATTCTTGCTATATTCCCAAACCAATACTCTACTCCTTTATGAAACCCATTAACACTTGGGAGAACAAATGAATGGGTGTCCCTTTGTGACTTGTTGATTAATGACATGAAACCACATGATTCAACATCGGAGTTATTGAACAATAGCGTGGGTGTAGAAATCTCTCTATCTACACACCCAGTTTTCTCAGGGGTGTGTTTACCCTGTTTTAAAGGGCGTTTTAGAATTTTGAAGTGTGTTAAAGTCCTGTCATTCGGTATTAATATTTTAGACATTTCAGAATGCTAATGATAGATGGATTGAGCTCCTTGCCCATTATTTTTAGGAAACAAAATTAAACAGGCCTAAGTTTTGAGTTGTGGTAACGCTCAGTTGTTACTTCATTTCATGTGTTTCTTGATTGTCATTGTCTAGTAATACATGTCCTGGAGGATAAGTGTGTCTATGACAGCAGACAATATTAGACTGTTTAAGAAAGGAATATAAGAGATTGACGTGCATTTACAGAAAAGCCACGTGTAGGTACATTTTTTTTTCCCTCACAGCATGTTGGTTGGCCGTTTATCAGCATTTCTTTGAATTTCAGATTGGTTAGAGAGGACATTATCAGAAGCTAAGCCTGTCCCAAAGGTTGTCACCGTTGTTAACCCTGGCAACCCAAGTGGGACCTACATTCCAGATCTCCTTCTTAAGGTTCTCTCTCTCTCTCTCTCTCAAAGATGATTTTAACATGCCTTGAGAATACACTTTCTTAATCCTCTTGCTTTTAAATTGTTCTAATTATTGCTAAGTAAGTCCTTTTTCATTTTGAGTAGAGGATTTCAGATCTATGCAGAGAAGCTGGATCCTGGCTTATTGTAGATAATACATATGAGTAAGTCTTTTCTGTTTGTATCAATGCTTTTGATTTGATTTTAAAGGTAATTATTGTTATTGTTTTTGTTGTGCCTGAAGATATCACAATGAATGTTAGGGGAAAGGAAGTTGCTGAATTCCTAATTAGCATTGAATTTCTTTGAAACATGATTGTTAGATTTTCTTTGAGAAATGTCACATAATACAGTTTATTGGTGCACTTTGCTTGTCCGCCTCTTGGTTTCCAACTAGAAGAAAAGCGCAGGAAATAGGAATACTAATAATATGGCAATTGACTGATGAAGTTTCAACGTTTCATACTTACTGGCGGGAGAATATTGAGATCTTCTCCTTGCAACCTGCTCAGCTAATGGATTGTTGTCTAATATTATAATCTAATGTAGCCACGAAGGCTATTTCTGGCCTTTTATTTTAAAAGGAGTTGTTAGGATCAATTATGTAAGCTTGAACTCCATTCATGCATAGGCTATGGTTTCCATAATACAGTCAATTGATGCTTGCTGGTATCATAAAAATATAATATTATACACGTTTTAAAAGCAGTCTTAAAATTGATGACCAAGTAATTGAAGTGGGATTGCTCTGGATGCCACATTCTGATGCTTTTTAGATATTATTCACAAATATGCGAATTCTGTACCACTTCTGAGTCAAATATAGTCTTTGTTTATCCATGTTAAGAAGCTTATGGTACCATATATAAGTGTTAACGAATTTTCTATGTAGGTATTTTATGTATGATGGTCTAAAACACTCGTGTATAGAAGGAGATCACATTGTCAATATCTTTTCTTTCTCAAAAGCATATGGAATGATGGGATGGCGAGTTGGATATGTAAGTAATGCCCAGTATCTCTCGTTGTTATTAATCAAGAATTGTAGTGTACTAGTATCATCAATGTTTAAAAACTATGAAAATTTCGTTTTGTTACAAATGAAACTTCAGGTACTAACAGTGGTGATTTTTAGTTTACTTTCTAGAGAAAAGATATGCATTTTCTTTCGTATATGCATTTTTTTTTTAAATGTAATCAGAAAGATGGTGGCACCAGCTAATCATGTAACGGCTGCAGATAGCATACCCATCAGAAGTGGAAGGCTTTCAAACTCAACTTCTCAAAATTCAAGACAACATACCAATCTGTGCTTCAATACTGTCACAGCACCTTGCTCTCTATTCCTTAGAAGTGGGACCCCAGTGGGTGACCGAGCAAGTGAAAGATCTCGTCAAGAACAGAGATATAATTCTGGAAGCACTCTCCCCTTTGGGTGAAGGAACTGTGAAAGGTGGAGAAGGTGCAATTTACCTATGGGCAAAGCTTCCAGAACAGTACGTGGATGATGATAAAGTCGTTCGCTGGCTTGCTACGAGGCATGGGGTTATCGTGATTCCAGGAGGTGCATGCGGATGTCCCGGGCATCTGAGGATCTCTTTTGGAGGCCTGACAGAGAATGACTGCAAAGCTGCTGCGGAGAGACTGAGGAGAGGATTGGAAGATTTGGTAAGCAACGGAATTGTGGAGTGACACTCATCCTTTCTACGTACGGCAAATACCATCAAAAAGGAAAGTCAGATTGGCCAGTTTGGTGCAAGTTTTAAGACGGGCATGGATTCGAATAATGGTAGGGCGTCTGGTGAATTGATCGTCTGATGTTTTTAGGTTCATAGTTATGTTGTTGTGAATGAGTGTACTTACCTAGCACCTTCACATTCACACGCACATTGATCATTGATATTAAATGTCACAGATGCAACATTGGTTTTTATGAAAATTGTTGGAACGACAACAATGAAAGTCCATCTAATATAATACGTAAAGATGATGTATCTGTTCTGTTTAGGTAAAGAAATGTGCTTTAATATTCAGCTTCAAATAAGAACAAAAAGAAAGAAAGAAAAAAATATCGGAATTCTGGGATTGGGGAAGGCAAGTGCCGTCATTGTTCTTCAACTCATTCCTTCACTTTAATAAGTTGCTTCTTTATTGGATAGCTTTGTGATTAAATTCAAAGTTCGAATGGCTCCATGACCGTTGCTCCTTCACCTGACTTCTTTTCGTTTAATTTTTGAGAAATAAGGAAAAGAAGGAAAAGAAAGTAAGAGAAAAGTGAAAGTGTCGGAACTGGAGTTTTAAAAAACTTCCATGCTTGGATATTTGGATCTAACAAGAAATGGGCCCTACCAATACCCTTAACGGCCTCCAATCCCCCTCCTGACGCTCGATATATAGGAGCAATGTGATTTCCTCCCAAATCTACACGGCGTCAAAGTTACACGACGTATGAGAAAACGACACCGTTTATTATATTAATAAATATCTTTTGGTGCTGTAGCTCACAGTCTCCGCCTCGGCCTCCGCCTCCTCAGCCTTAAACTGCACACTATCACTACCCAACTTATTACTTCACCAGGACTAGAGTCAACTAACTAACCAACCAACCACACAGACAGAAAGTAAAAGGAGGAGGAGAAGAAGAGGTAAGGAAGGGAAATAGAGTAATTCTTCGAGATCGATCGCCCATACTAGCTGGGGCCTGGATGTAATGAAAGGCTAGAAATTAGGGATTCTATTGTAAAAGGAAAAATGGTGGGAAGTGGGAGTTCATCAGCAACAACAATGGCGGCGTTAAGTGGATTGCAAGATCACTTGAAATTGGCGAGAGAATATGCTCTTGAAGGCCTCTATGACACTTCCATTATCTTCTTCGATGGTGCCATTGCTCAGATCAACAAGTATCTACACCCACCCCACCCTCTCCCTCCCTCTCTCTCTGCTTTTAACTTTCTATTTAATTCTTTTTTTCTATATAAATGAACATTTTGGATCTTAATTTAATTAATATTTTCCAATTCAATGCTACAACGAATTCAGCAACCAAATAATTGTTACCGTGTGTTTTGTTTCTTTTAGGCACCTAACCACGCTTGACGATCCTTTAATTCGCACGAAATGGATGAATCTCAAGAAATCCCTTTTCGATGAGACTGAAGTTGTCAAACAATTGGATGCTGAGAGAAGGGGTTTTAAGGAAGCTCCTGCTTCCAGGCGCGTTGCTTCTCCGCCCATTCATGCTAAATCTTCCTTTGTTTTCCAGCCATTGGATGAGTACCCTACGTCTTCTGGTGCTCCCATGGATGATCCTGATGTTTGGAGGCCGCCTAGTCGGGACACTACCAACAGGAGGCCTGCCAGGGCTGGTCAAGGGGGTATGAGGAAATCACCCCAAGATGGGGCCTGGGCTCGTGGTGCTTCCACGAGAACGGCTACTACTGGTCGTGGTGCAAAGACCACTGGTTCAAGTAGGGTGAACTCGGGAGTCAGAGCATCGACAACCGGAAAGAAAGGCACTGGCACTGGAAAATCAGGAAAAGGAGATTCATCTGTAAGTTCTCCTATCTATGGTTCTAGGAGTATTTTCAACATTCTTCACTATTTATTCCACAGAAAAAAAGAAAGAGTATTTGCCATATGTCAGCATATTCCTGCATTTAGAGTTTGTGAATTCTTTTCTATAGGATGTTGTGCTGGTCACTGTGTTCCAATAACCGATTGCTGGATGCAAATAGATGAGGGCTGTAGAGGGGGATTTGGGGGAGGGCTGGAAATGTGTTTTGCGTACATGATGCATGTGTAGACACTGGGTTGGACAGTAAAATTTGATTCAATAATGTATTGTGATGCTAATTTGATGTTTAAATTTATGGTCCTATCCCGGTTTAGTGAAGTAGAAACTCAATATAATTATATAACTATTAAGCTTTTGGATAGTACTGGAGATACATTGCGTTAGATTGGAACTTCTGTGGTGATAATATATTTGAATACGAATGACAAATATAGGCAAGGAGGAAACAATACTGTGGTAGAATAGAATTGGCTGAATCCTTTTGTTTTCATTTACTTCTTTTTCGATAGTATTTAGATCCCTCTCTTTCTCTTAAGTAAGATCCTGAATTTAGTAATGAATCTTTTGTGATTTAAAGGGGAGTAGAAGAGTTTTTATTGGTTTATTTTGTGGGTTTTGGAAGGAGAAAGATCAAAAGATTTTATGGAAATGTGCTGTTAATGCAATCATTTGGTGCATTTGGATGGAGAGGAATGAGATGATTTTTTATTACCTTTTCTCATGATTTTTTATTACATTTTCTCATTAAAGTTGCTGTTGTGAGATAGGATGGTCTTCTTGGTTTCTTTGTAAAGTCATGCCTTCGAAGGCGCTTCTTTAGCAGATATTCAAAGGGATTGGAGTGCTTTATTAATTTGAACTAGATTGGTGTTTCTTTGTGGTATTTGAGAGGTTGTCTTATTCTCATTTTGGATGTTGTTATTATTATTATTATTCCATCCTTGCAATAAACTCCCCCCCCCCTTCCCCCCTCTAAAAAGAAAAATACATGTGGCTGTATTCTATTTAGTTTTATTGTAAGAGGAGTTTGTCTTAAAATATTTCTCAGACATCGGCAGTGCAGATCTCCACAAATGTATCCCTTTTCTACTTTATATTCTGTCAAACAAGTTTTGATTTCAACATATTTACACTTGTTATGAGGATTAACATAATGATGAGGCGAAAAGAGGGAAGAGAGACCATATTTGCTTTGGGATGGAAATGTAACAAGAAAGTGAGGTTTGTGAAACCTGTTCTCTACTCAAACCTCTTTTCAACCTTCTCAATTGAGTTCCAAAAAGGGGGGAATGAAAATTTAAAATGACAAGAATCTCATGAGGCTTTTTTTATTTAGTTTTAATATAGCAATTCCTTTTTTGCCTCAGGACCCAGGAGTCAAACATATTCTAATAGTTTTTTTTGTAGTTATGTGTATTCAATTCTTATTTGTCATGTCATGTGCATATCCATGTGGGGTGCTTGCCTGATACTGATAAGGAAGGAGGGGTTGTAGTATTCTTTATAGGATTTAACCACTGGATAGTTGGAATTCTCATGGAAACACTGTTCAGATGGTAAATGAAGACATTTGATTGTATCACGAGCAGAACTCATGTGGCTATGAAGAACATCGTATTACTTGGGGTAATCATGAATAAAGGTGATGTAGGACAGCGTAGGGGCTGTTCTGGATCTGATCCCTGGAGGCTGTCTAGGGGTTTTTAGGGTTTTGCTGGAATATAAGGAAATATGTGGGTAGATTTCTAGGAGTCACACCTAAGAGGGGGATTGAGTCACATAATCAAAAGCAAATTGCTGGAATTTTATTCATAAACTGTCATTCATAATTTTGGAAGACTACACTCTGTATTTATAGAGTTGTAGAAGTCCAAATCCTATTAGGATAAGGATTCCTAGACCTCCAACATAACTATTCCTATTTAGAATAGGAAAATCTATAACTATTCCTATTTTAAAATAGGAAAACCCAATAACTTTAGGACTAAGAAAATAAAATACTGAAAAAGAAATAAAGCCTAGACCTAGACAATTTCCAGATTTCCATCAAACCTGAAAAAATTGCTAAATTACCCTTGCATTCTAAAATTTAAATAAAACACATAAATCTTAGTCTTTTGTCATCTGCATCAAAAGGTGTTGCCCAAGTTTTGCTAATCTATTGAGCATGCCTATTTTATTATGATAAGATGGATTGCACTTACACCTTTTCATGGGTTCTTCTCTCTTTTTATTACTTTTTTCTCTTCTATAGGGTGGAATGTTTAGTCTATATTATTCTTGTCACGTGCTGTCACACATGCTGGTTTATCGTAAGATTCCAAGTAATAAGAATGATATGAATTATACTCTGTTATGTTATTTCATTTCTAGATCTGTGTTCATCATTTGAACTTATCTGAGTGTGCAATTGTTAGAATGGTGGTTTATCGTAAGATTCCAAGTAATAAGAATGATGTGAATTAGACTCTATTATGTTATTTCATTTCTAGATTTGTGTTCATCATGTGAACTTATCTGAGTGTGCAATTGTTAGAATGGTGGTTTATCGTAAGATTCCAAGGAAAAATGATGTGAGTTATACTCTATTATGTTATTTCATTTCTAGATTTGTGTTCATCATGTGAACTTATCTGAGTGTGCAGTTGTTAGAATGGTGGTTTATTGTAAGATTCCAAGTAATAAGAATGATGTGAATTATGCTCTATCATGTTATTTCGTTTCTAGATTTGTGTTCATCATGTGAACTTATCTGAGTGTGCAATTGTTAGAATGGTGATGCTGAAGATGTAAAGAAGAGACCACAATATGAGGGACCTGATCCTGAATTGGCTGAGATGCTTGAAAGGGATGTCTTGGAAACTACTCCTGGAGTAAGATGGGATGATGTTGCAGGACTCAGCGAAGCAAAAGACTTCTGGAGGAAGCCGTTGTCCTTCCTTTGTGGATGCCTGAATATTTCCAGGTATTCTTACATGGTTGATGCTGAATTACAATTGTAGTTCGTATTCTCATCATGCAGGGGTTCTAATTCTTTATGTTTTAAATTCAACACATCATGTTTTCTGGAGTTAAGATGTTATCTTACCATATGCCGCAAAATGTTTTTATCGACATAGGTCCTTGGTCTAACTATTGTTACTATTCTTTTATTTTCTACTTGTAATTATATATTCGTGGGCAGGGAATTAGGAGACCTTGGAAAGGTGTTCTTATGTTCGGCCCACCTGGTACTGGGAAGACACTACTTGCTAAAGCTGTTGCTACTGAGTGTGGTACAACATTTTTCAATGTTTCATCTGCTACATTAGCTTCAAAATGGCGTGGGGAGAGTGAACGAATGGTTCGGTGCTTGTTTGATCTAGCACGAGCTTATGCACCAAGTACAATTTTCATTGATGAGATTGATTCTCTATGCAATGCTAGGGGGTGAGTTTATCATCCATTCTCAAGTAGGTTGAAGTTTCAGTACACTGTATGATTGTATGTTATATCCCAACATCTTTTATCATGTTAGGCGGTTGTGTCTGCATTGAATTCTTATGTGCTTTCCATGTGCATTAATCTCTCTGTCTCTCTCTTTTGCTCTCTCTCTCTCTCTCTCACACACCAACCTCTTCCTTCTCATGAACTAAGATTCTTGAGTTGCTTGCTCTGCTTCGAATGAACTGATTGTTAAATTTGTTTTTTTTTTTACCATTATAAGATTGAACATGGTTTTGTTTGATCTCAATTCTTCAGGGCTTCAGGGGAACATGAATCATCTCGAAGGGTCAAGTCTGAACTTCTGGTTCAGGTAGATGGTGTAAGCAATAGTTCCACTGGTGAAGATGGCAGTCGGAAAATAGTGATGGTTTTGGCAGCTACTAACTTCCCTTGGGACATAGATGAAGCACTAAGGTTTGTCGACTGTCTTCTCATAAATATTTTTGATATTATTTTGCCCTCTGAAATTCTTAGATCTATGCTAAATTGCAATCTGTCCAAGATGTTATACAGCATCTGATATTATTTTGCCCTCTGAAATTCTTAGATCTATGCTAAATTGCAATCTGTCCAAGATTTTATACAGCATCCTCATTACTCTGGCTTTATCTAATGTGATATAAATGCAATGCAGGAGGAGGTTGGAAAAGCGTATTTATATTCCTCTTCCAAATTTTGAGAGTCGTAAGGAGCTTATTAGGATCAATTTGAAAACTGTTGAGGTAAATTGACTGTGCCAACTGATTATATTTTGTCATATTATTCGATTAAGCTCTTTCTCCTTTTCGACTCTTGATGTATATTACAGATCCTGGATGAAGGTAAATCATTCTGTGTTGTTATGGTTAGGCTTGACTTCACTGTCACCTGATGGTATTAATCTATGATACCTTTTGCACTATACTTTGTTCTGTTCCCCTTTTCTGTTAATAACAGTGATAATTTTGAATATAGTTCTTTTAAACAACATTGCTTTTTGTGATTTCAGTATGAGAGTAGGCAATTGTCGCTTTAAAAGTGTGAATAAACTGTAGCATGGAATTCACTTATTTCGTTTTATGTAGTAAAAATCTGTATGATGGTTTGAAGGAAATTCCTTCACTTGATAATAACCCTTGTAATTGAGTGAACGCTGGAAAGTGGCATGCTAAGCACCATAAGGTGGTAAATATAAACTGAAAGTGAACAATAGCTGAGTAGGGTTTTGCATAATTCCAATTTGAATTATTCGTTAGTAACAGCTTCTGGTTTCTAGTTTGGTTTTATTGAATGAAAGATAAAAGAAGAATATAAGTAAAATTCAGGCATACAACTAGTTTGCCTGATGGTATCAACTCCAATCAATTGTTGTGAATTACAAGGAGTTGAATGACAGGGCTGCAATTTTAATGATCCACATGAAGTTTTCATAATAATTTTTTTTACTTTTTGAACTTTTCTTTGCTTTAGAATCTCAAGATGACATTATCTGTAATTTGTAAATTTTTTGTGAGGCCGTTTGTTACCTAACCTAGGTAGCCAGACTGGGATGTGTGGAAGGGAGTACTGTGTTGAAAGTCAGATTGATTAGCCATCTTAGATTTATTGCAAGAATTTCTGATCAATGTCTGTAGGCTACTCATTTGAATGCTCTTGACTTGGGTCATAACACACATTGTATCTAAACATTCACTAGAGCATATTTGATCTAACTTCATAATTTCATGCTACATCATTGATACTATGGAAGCCGTTGTGATGATTTTCAATAATGCCTCGATTATAAAATGCCTTAATATTTTCATTTCTTGATCATATATGATCTGCACTTCTATACTTGCCTGGCTGCATGCCAAACTCATCCTGTCTGTGTGGCCTGTTGTCGTTTTAATCAAAATATATGAAGCTTGCTTTTCAAGAATAAGATCCTTGATTTATGTAGAGCTCGAGTCAGTGTGTGGGTTTGCTTCCATTCCCTTGTTGTGCTGTGTCTGGTGTTTTTGTTACGAAGGTTCCTTGTAATGACACTCTCGACCATGCTAGTCCTTCTGATGCCTTCACTGTGGAGCGTGGAGCAACCATAAAGAGTAATCATTGATTAACATTGTTATTATACAGGTGGCCACAGATGTAAATATTGATGAAGTTGCTCACAGAACAGACGGATACAGTGGAGATGATCTAACGAATGTTTGCAGAGATGCTTCTTTAAATGGAATGAGGCGCAAGATAGCGGGAAAGACTCGAGATGAAATTAAGAACATGCCTAAGGATGAGATTTCGAATGATCCTGTAGCAATGTGTGATTTTGAAGAGGCCTTGCGGAAGGTTCAGCGCAGTGTTTCCCAAGCAGATATTGAGAAGCATGAGAAGTGGTTCTCAGAATTTGGATCGGCCTAAGGGAGATGAGACCTATATTGAGAAGACTCCTGCTGATTGGTATTTTCTTTAAAATGTTTTTCACTTGGAAGTGATTTGTATTTTGGCAATGACTTGATTAATTGTAACCCATTTGTTGGAAAGGGCTAATATTGTTTTGTTGTTTTGTCACTGTAACCTCCCTTCTGTAATGTAATCGAAATTCCTTTTCAAAACTTTGTCCTTTTGGCTGGATAAATTGATTGCCGATACACTAAAATCATTCCTCTGTTAATTGTCGTGCATGCATTTAAATTTAATGAATTTGTCAAGGGTAAAAGGGTCAAACCACTTTTGAATTTTAATCTATTTGAAAACTAGTTTCTGAATTTTTAATTTGTGTTTCAATATTTTTTTTATTTTTAAGATTTAGTCAATTTTATAATTTTCAGCTATCATCTTTTCTTTTTAAAAATTCAATTCTTGGTATTTTGGTTTTACGTTTTTCACATATATTAGAAAAAATTCAATCTATTTTCTAAAATAATTTTATTTTTAAAAAAAATGTTGAAAATTGGGAAAAAAAATTTATGGGAAATGATTTTAAATTGTTTGGAAAGTTACAGATAAATTTCAATAAATGATTTATGTTAAGAAACTATATATATATATATATATATATATATTGATAAAGTAATAGAAAATTAAAGGATTGACTAAATTTAAAAAAAAATTCAAAAAAACCAAAATATAAATTAAAAGTTTTAAAACTGATTTTTAAATAAATTAAAATTGAGGGGAGGTTTGGTTTTTTTAGCCATCTGATAAATATGAAAAATTATAACAAAAATCAGGAAAAAAAATAATTTTACATTTTTAATGAATAAACAGAAACGTCAGAAGATGGATATCCAAAAAAGGGAATTAAGTAGAGAATTTAACTGTATGCCCCACTTTGTCGTGTCAGAGAATTTGGATTATTTGGTTGCTATCACTTCTTGTTTATATCATTGGATCAGTAATGTATCCAAAACATTATTTTTTTCTTTCTGAATTTGATGGTCGGACGTGAGAGATATTATGGACTGATTGATTGTTGCATCAATAACAAGGAAGGAGTTACAAACAAAACAAGCAAATTGTACATACTTATGAAAGGCTTTCTTCTAAGCAGCAACAATATTCTCAATTTTTTTTTTTAGCTTTTTTAATTAACACAATTTGTCTCTATTGTGTGGCTAAAATCGACATTAAAAGACGATTCCATTTTCTGCATTGCTTGTGTCGCCCGAAGGGCTCCTGCATTGGTCCTCCATGCCACCATGTTGCAACACTTGTCCCAACTTTAGTATGGGAAATTGTAGAAATAGGACCGTAGCATAGGCAGGCAGGTAGGTTCTTTGGAGGTGAGTTTATCAGTACTTCTATTGTGAAAACCTGCTTTTATAAATGCTCTTTAAATAGTCACCACCAAGTACCAAGTCCTTTGCCAAATTCCAAAACCATGGGGACATTCAGATTGAACTTTACTCCAATTTCTCTCCTCCTCCTCCTCTTCGTTCTCATGGCAGTGATAGTAAATAGTAGTAGTACATTACAAGGTAATTCATGCAACGATATATATATATATATATAACAGACCTTTAGAACAAAAAAAAACTTGAAACACATTCAAGTTATGCAGTTTTGTGTTGAAACTTCTATTGGTTTTGGTCATGGGATTTGTATGTGCTTTAAACCTTCTGATTGATTGAGTACATACTGATGGTAGTGATGATTTTTTTTTTTTTTTTGGGTGTGTACAGATGATGTGTGTGCAACGACAAATTGTGGGCAAGGAACATGCAAGGCTTCTAATACTTCATTTCCTGGTTTTGATTGTGAATGTAATTCGGGTTGGAAGAAGATGCAGATCGGTCCTTTGACCTTTCCTCCTTGTGTTGTTCCCAATTGTGAGCTCCTCTCTCTCTCTCTTTCTCACACTCTTATCTCTGTGCGTGTATGTTCGATCGAACGTGAAGTAGCGCCGTAGCGGTGCTGATGATTATCTTTCGTTTCTGTGGTTTAAATTATTATGATAGCAACTTAGGATGTAGAATGTGAGCATCTTTTATCCTTTTTTCACAAGCCACATAAATCTATTTCATACAACTTTATTTATGTTTTTCGTTGGAATATGCTTGTATTTTTTAAGAATAGAATATGCTTTCATGGGTTTATTGCATTTTGCAAGTCCTTTATTGCATTGAAATTTTTTTTATTAGATTCAAAACTTGCAATAAATAAATAAAACTCTTCCTATATATGTGGAAATATTGCATTCCTTTTTTATTTATGAATAAATTGCTAATTAAGTAGGAATAGAAGGGCGTACAAAGAGGACGTGACGATCATCTTGTCCTGATTGTTCCCTTAGTCACATGGAATTCTGTCAGCCTCTTCTGCTTGGTTTTTATTCATTTATTTATTTTTGTGCGGCATTTTTCAATTTATTAGAGACTAAATCCCAATCCCATATCTGTTTTATTCAATTTATATATGCAGGCACATTTGACTTGGGATGTGGCAATGGAGCTCCACCAGCACCACCACCACCTCCACCTCCACCTTCTCCACCTCCACCATTCAATCTCTTCGACCGTAATTATCATTGAACGTTAGAATATTTGTCACTGATTTTGAGAAAAAGTATGCATCTTAAACCAAGACATTCTGTTTTGCAGCCTGTAATATTCTTGTTTGGTGCGGCGATGGAACCTGTGTGCCTAATGGAAGTGGACACATATGCCAGTGCAACGATGGCTCTGCAAATGTGTTAAACGCGACAGACCTTGCTTGTTTTAAACAATGTAAGACACTTTCCCTTCCACCATGCATAAAGGCTTGAACCTATGCTATGTATGGTTAAAGAGTTAATCATCAAAACATGCCACCCTTCACCTTGGTAATCTCCTAACTATTGCTAAACTATGGTGGTGTACACGTGGTAATTAACACGTCAAGGAAGAGAAAGTAATTTCGAAATCTCCTTATTGTCAAATATCAAGTGATGCGGAGATTCAATCTTTACCTTTTTGTTGGAAAGTGATGTGGTTTGCCATTTTTTGCTGCAGTTTTAAATTACTCCATGACTGTGATTTTGAGCATATTTAAGACGATATGTGTTTGCTTAACAGTTTGATTTTTTTCCACCAGGCTATCTTGGAGCAGATTGTAATGGTCTTGTGTTCGGCAACTCACCGCCTCCACCTCCACCGCCATCCAGTAGTTCAGCCCCGCCAAGAAATAATGGTATCCATCGATATATAAAAATTTTCCTTTTTTTTTTTTGCCAACGCAAAATTTGCCAAATTTTACCCGACAGATAAAAGAAAATATGGGCTAATAGATAAGTCTCGAGTGCTTAAGAAATTACCGATTGATTATCATGTCAATGCCATAAACATGAAAATGAAAACCAGCAACAATCTGCTCTTGATTCGTGCTGCTGCTATTATTGTGGTGTGGAAATGTTTTAGCAGTTTTGTTGTTTTTAACTAAAATTAGCTAGGGATATGAATCTGACATATGAATGATTCGATTATTTTATTAATATATATGTGTGTATAATAAATGTACATGATCTTGCGAGTGGATTGCTCCTTAAATTGTTTATTTTCTTGATATAAAAACTCCAAACACATTGTGCATGTTATTCTTAGTGATTTTCTATGATTAAATTCAGCAATTCGTGTGGCAGCACCACCAGGCTCGACCGAAGCATCAAAGTCCTTGAGGAACCTTTGTGCATCATCAATGATATTTTTAGCAGCAAATTTCCTAACATGGCTTTAGGGACATGGACAGATGCTCGTCATACTGTTATTCATATAATTTCAGTGTTCAAAATATTGTATGCGAAAATAATTATTCATCGCTTAGGCAGCTAGCTTGTTAAGGCATTATTACTGATATCTAAACTGTTAGGAGGAAGCAATGGCTTTCCTGCTCTTGTTCAAAACTTCATTTTTGAACAGAAGATTTTTAGCAGGTTTTTTAAACTTTTAGAGCTAAAGGTCCACGTTGTCAATCAATCATCTTCGAATTCCCAAAGCCAACTTTCATTGCTGCATCGGTTCGATTGCTTTTGTTGTGGCTGCTGGGTTTTGGTGGAAATCTCCAAAATGCAGATGTAAACGTTGTCTATTACCAAATCTTTTTAATTCATCGAAGGTACACTTTCATTCAATAATCACCAAAAAAAAAAAAAAAAAAATTAGTGTCATTATGACTCAAAGTTTATTTCAGTAGAAAACTAATTAGATAAAGAACCACTAAACCAAACGTGCTTGTGTGTTGTCTAAATTAATAACGAAATGTCATTGAATAATCACAAAAGAAAAGAAAGAAAAGAAAAAAGTCATTACGACTCAAATTTTATTTTACTAGAAAACGTAACTGGATAAACAACCATTAAATCAAACCTGCTTGTGTGTTGTCTATTACTGGATTAATAATGAAATGCACGACAACCCTTTATTTATATTGGTGCTGTTTAGCAAGAATGAAATAGTGGAAATCAAAATCAAATTTTTATTAGTACTTTATAGATATTTGGTTTAAAGTAATCAAGTGAAAAATGAAAGTTTTATTTGTACTTTGTAGGTATTTAGTTGAAGGTAATCAAGTGGGAATGAAAAAAATTAAACATATTTCATTCCCATGGAAAGATATATATACATAAGGAAAGAAAATATCATTTTTATTTATTATATATCAACTAGTTCTAATACATCACCACTTAATTTCACTTTTATCGCTATCTCCATCGGTAGTAGTGATAAAAAAGAAATAAAAAAAGATTATTATTATTATTATTATTCGGTCACCATGCACTCTCCCTCAACTATCATCATCACTTTTATTATACCACTATCACTACTATTAGCGGTGATAATAAAAAAGAATTTGAAAATAATAATAATTATTATTATTTAGCTACAATAGTTATTTTATTATAATACCACCACTATCATCACTTTTTTTTTATTATTGCCACCTCTTATAATGACAGAATCAATTTTAAAAAAATATATTATTACTATTACTATACTACTGCTGTCATTTTCTCCTTTTTCCACTACAATTACCTTAATCACTTATATCATTTTTACTACTATTGTAGTTGATAAAAATATTTTTAATCATTATTCTAATTAGTTTAAAAATCAAATATTGAAAAAAAATTAAAATTAAAATTAAATTAATTTTTTTTTTATTATTTCAAATACAATATGAGAATGCAAATATCATTTTTATTTTTATTTTTATCCATACATTTTTAATTTGGATATTTTTTTAGTAACCAAAGGACAACCTAATAACTTTAATCGTAAAAATATGTAACCATTAATTATGGCCGGAAAAATAGAAAAAAAAGTTTCGAAATGGACTCGATCTCGTTACGTTACTTTACTCTCAACAAAGTGCTATCTTGTACCCTTTTTCATACTGAATAAAATATATATATATATATATATATATATATATATATATTCTGCATGTGAAGATGAGAATATCATGTTATGGAATTTTGTCGTTTAATAGAGTAAATCATAAATTAGTTTTTTATTTTTTTCAAAACAAATTAAATAATCTTTCTATTATGTAAATACATAATTAATTTTTAATATATATATATATATATATATATAATCATACTTAGTAGATTCAGAGTATATAGTATAAAAAAAATCTTAAAAGAAAATATCTAAGTTGTATGAAATATATTAAAGTCAATAAATTAAAATAAAAACCACTACAAAATTAATTCCCATAAATTTTACTTCTTAATTTATGATAAAAGAGATTCTTGAATTACAAATTAAATTATAAATTAGTTTATCTCGTTTTGAAAAATGAACAAATTAATTCCATTGGTCTCAAAAATAAATTATTTAATTTTTTTAATTGGTGTTGACCATGAATAATTTATTTTTTTATTTAAAAAATATTTTTTTCATATTTTTACTTTTTTTTTTTTATTCTTTCTCTATTTCTTAAAACAAAAAATAAAAACATTGAACCAGCAAAAAGGAGAAAAAAATTAGTTTTTGAACCAAAGGGACTAGTGGTTTTGTGTATGCATAGACATAATTAATTTTCAAAAAAAATATATATATATATATATATATATATATATATATATTATACTTAGTAGATTTAGAGTATATGGTATAAATAAACATTTAAAAAAAACATCCATCTAAGTTATGTGGAATATATTAAAATCAATAAATTGAAATAAAAACTACTACAAAATCGGTTCTCATAAATTTTACTTCTTAATCTATAATGAAAGAGATTCTTTAATTGCAAATTAAAGTATAAATTAGTTCATCTCATTTTGAGAAATGAATTAATTAATTCTTTTGGTTTCAAAAATAAATTATTTAATTTTTTTAATCAGTTTTGATCACGAATAATTTATTTTTTATTTTATAAAATGTTTTTTGTTCATATTTTTACTTATTTTTTATATTCTTTCTCTATTTCTTAAAAAAAAAAAAAAACATTGAAATAGCAAAAAGATTGGTTCTTGAAGCAAATGAACTAATTAATTTGTTTCTGGAAGAAAGAGGGACTAATTTATAATCATTATTGAATAGCAAGTGGCTTTAGCTTCCCTGCCAAAAATAAGAAGAGAAAAAAATTGAAAGAAGACAGGAGCATTAAATGCTCACTCTGAAGGAAAAAAAAAAGGGAAATGGCAAGAAAAAAAAGGCCCAAAAAGAAATTAAAAGGAGGATCAGTCAAGGGTAAAAATGAAGCTTCTCAAATTCATCGAGTGGCAAAACAAAAATTAACGAAAAGCTAGGGGGCGAAAAATCAAGCAACACAATAACTAGTAAATCTAAGTCTAAAACAATATTAAATGAATAGTAAACATCTTATTTCTTTTATTTTTTTCTACTAATGTATATTAAATTAAAAATAAAAAATAAAATTTTAATTTAATTTTATAATTTTTAATCAAATTTTGTATTTTATTCGTTTTTCTTTATGTTTTTCATAGATTTTATCGTTAAAAAAAACACAATTCATTTTTTTTATTCATTCGTTCTTAACTAAAAACCTACAATAATATAAATATAAAATTTTAAAAAATATTTTAATATTTTTTCATAAGACTACATCGGAGAAATATATCAACAATCAATATAAAAATTAACTAATAAATATTTTTAAACTTTTTGATACATAGACACACACACACACACACACACACATAAAACAATCAATAATATTAGGTATAAAAACATGCATTTAAATTATTAGGTGATTCTTTTAAAATATTATTTTATTTAAAATAAAATAAATTTGGAATATTAAAAATAATTAATAGAAAATAGTCTCGTGTTATCCGTGTTGATGTATAGTTAATTTTTAATAAAATCAATGATCTCAATATTGTTTTTTGTATATATCGTTACCATACTCCGTACAAATTAAAAAATATGTTTAAAAAAACTTAAGTTATAAAAAATATATTAAAGTTAATAGAATGCAATAAAAATAATTTAATTTTTTTTCAAAAAAAAAAAGATTATATCAAGAATAAGGTAAAAAAATACGTGAATTCTATTATTTATTAAAAAAACATATTAAAAATTCATACACAGAGAAAGATAAATCATACTTATTAACAAATAAAATTTCATAAAAAAATAGAACAATTAATTTGATGAGAATTTTTGTAATAAACGGAAAATTTAAGATATTAATTTTAATCAATAAAAAATACAATCTGATATATGTATTTGTTCTAAAATTTTAAAACATAACATGTCAAAAATATTTTTTAAAAATATGAGGAACAAAAAATTTATTTTGAAAAAAAATGTAAAACAAAAATGGACTAAGTGAAAAACATGAGATGTCAAAATATTTTTAAAAATATAAGGATTTAAAAATATATTTTGAAAATATAAGAGACCAAAAAGGAATAAAGTGTAAAATTTGAAAATGAATGCTCAGAAAATGCTATTGTAAAAAATCGCAAAACTGTCACTTTTGAACAATAATGAATAGTGATCTGAGATAAATGAATGGTAATTTATTGTTCATTGGTCCCAAATCTTTTAGCATGTTATCTAAAAAATCATAAAACTATTACTCTTTGAACAATAATAAATAGTAATTTGAGACAAATAAACAGTAATTTACTATTAATTTGTCTTATATCTTTTAGTGTTTTACTTAATTAGGTTTTTGTTTTGATGAAACAAACTTTTTCTATTTGTTAATTCTAAACTCTAATTTGACGCCTAATTATTGATTGTGGAATTTTGTTAGAAAAACTAATTGCAATTACAGTGAGCACTACCTCATTTGGTTAAAATTTATTACATTTTATTTAAATTCAGGTTATTGCAATTTATTTTTTGAATCATTAAGATTACCGAATATAAAAGTCTTCACTAGGTTAGTGAATAGTAGTGAAGACTTTTATATTCGGTAATCAAAAAATTATTTTTTAGTATTTTAATTTGAGAATTTTTCACAAATGCTAATGAAAATTCAGCCTTTTTTTTTTTCATGAACATCAAAAATTCAATAAATCGTGAAATAGAAAAGAAGCCATAATGTTCCCAGTTTTGTGGGGAACCTTTATGGGCGGCAACCTCCATAATTTAGAAGCAAAAACCAATTCGATGGTGTGATGAAACATCAACATTTTGCCAATGCGGTATTTTAGACTTTCCCGTAATAAGTAAGACCCATAGATACAAAACGTTACCGATTAGTAAAATTTTTGCACCTTCTGTTGTCCAGTCATTCTTCGTTTGGTGATA